TTACTACCCGATTAATTCACTCCATCGACTATCGACAGAAACTGTTCAAAGAAGGAATTTAGAATAGAGTGTCTATGGTTTTACCGTCGTGCACCGAGTTGCTAAAAGCGGGCTTTCTATCATTGTAATTACGCTTTGTAAGACTACTTAACGAAAGTGCTCGTATCTTGGCTTAACCATTGCCTGTTGATGCAGTAGAAGTCATAAATAATGCTCGCAAGTACTTTCGAACTGTAATAAATACAGTGAAAATAGGTCGAAACATTCAATAAAAGCTCAGATTTCCTAAGCTTTACAACAGAAGCGAGGATGTATCATTACGTACCGTATACGTTGTGTCCTAATGTAGTAGTTTTATATGATCTTCACTCCACTCACTTAGGAGCACAGAAAATCAAATCACTCGCTTATAACGAAAATATTTATTTACTTGCTGGAGACCTGAAATTAATGCTGATATTATTCAAAAGTAGAAAAACTATCCTGGTTTCTTACGCAAACTATCATACAGTAAATCTACTGGAAATCCTTAGTCTGCATGTTATGAATCAAGGTAAGTAGTTATGCCCATTATTAGTGACCATTTCCTAATTTATATTATGCCCTATTTATTATTGATTCTTATTCAGAACAGCCAGAATCAACACTTACTAACGGTCCTAGATGAAAATGCAATCAAAGAGCGTGGTGGAAACGATTTAGTTGTGAGAGAAAACTCAATGCATTAGGTCCTGACAACAGAACTGATTTCATAGAGAAGGAATTTAACAGCTGGCTTAACGATGTTGGATGCTGTCATCTACTTACAGCTCTCTGATATCTTCAGTCTAATGGCTTAGCAGAAAATTTTGCCCGAACTTTAAAAAGTTTTATCATTTCAGTAAGCCCGAATAATCTAGAAGAGCTAGAAAAATACGCTGATCATTTCCTAGAACAACGTTGTAATGCACAACATTTCATAACTTGTGCGACTACACCTAACCTTTTCAATCTCCTATATTTCGAACATATTTGGTAAATAAAGCATCATTAGAAGCATAGTTTTACGAAGGAGGTGATTATGGACCATTTATATGAATTATAATTCAGAGAATGGATAATCGTATTCTTGATTTGAATGACGATTCAGTTCACAGCAGATATGTAGACCAAGGGAAGGTTAATAATCTTGGTAATTTTTATCTCAGTTCTGATCACGCCATAAGTAATTCTAGTTCTGTAGATAGTTCAGAACTTCAGATACATACTTCCGATTCTGATTACATTTGTCCCCTTGTTAATAATAACTCCTGGATAGTGCTGAATTTCAGATTGTTGAAAATCAAGATCGAAATATTCAGTAGTTTATGAGATCCGACCGAATTTCAGAAGCACTAAGGCAATTTTATAAACATCTAGATAGATATTCAAAATGTAGCAGATGTGGTGAATATTAAATACATTAACTGAATAAGGCGAAAACTATGAATGCACAGAATGGTTACTTTCTAATTAAATAAACGTATCTCAACGCAGATTGAAATAGGGAGTAAAAAGTTCTTTCATTACCGCGTGAAAACTTCTAACACTTAGAAAATCCCTTCGTTTACGTTCAAATGTCTACTGAAATTTAGTCCTGACGTTAACATATTGTGTAGTTTCGTATTCTGAGCTGGACATTTTCATTGTTCTTGTGAGCAACAATAGCGGCGCAAACTTCAGGTAGGAGTGAAGTATTCGCATTTCTCCACGTATGACTCGTGCTTGTCTTGTTGATCTCTATCTTGATTAGTGGTTATTAACCTTTGTCCGTCATTGTCTGCCACCTAACTCTTGTAGTGCCTCCACATATATTCAAGTTCGCTCACATTGAATTTGGTTAAGCCCCTTAGACTAATTTATATAACCAAGCCATTTGTATTGCAACAATTTATATGTACCATTCGTTCTTATTATTTTTTGGTTTGTATGAGCTCACATAACGTGTCCCACTTGTCAGTTGACCTTGTCAGTTATTCGTGGCTTTTATTCATGTGTCTATTTCGCTTGTCACATGTCTGTCTTATATTTGTCTGACTATATATTCTTAGTTATGCTCTATCTCTTTGAGTTGGCTCAACAGCCTTCTCCAATTCACTTCGCTTCTTTCGTTTTATTCGCTGTTTCTCCGCTTCGCTTTGTGGTGTGTCCCAAATAAACATATTGAACACTATGTGTTCACCCTCTGACAAATAAACCGTCAGACGCTAGTCGTCTGGACGAGCCACTTACTGAGCTTAAGAACACGCAGTAAACCGATACACTACACTCTGTTTGTATCCTCCATCTATTTGGTTCATGATTTTATGTTAACCTACAATTTTTTTATTGGTTGATAACTCTGATGAATGTTTTTGTTAATTCCCGATCGACTCACGGGAAAAATTACCAAAAATTCTTTATTATTCTTTGCACTCCTTTTATACAGTATAAAAATTTTCCAGTCGAATAAATGTCAACTGCTGTCCGCAAGCAATGATAGAAGTGAAGAACTGTCTTGGCGTTTGACCGCTAAGTGATATCCAATTAGGCAACGCTCAAGAGGATGTCAACTCTGTCCGATGTAGTGTTTTCCGCTGTTCGGAATGTTACGTCCAGTTTTTTGCTCGTTGATCTTTAGAAGCACAGTTGTCGATCTATTTGCAATTCACGATTCCAAATATTAAACCAAAAGGAAATTCCAAAGTAGATACCAAAGTTTATTCCAAATCACAAAATCGACCAAAATATGTTTATTACAAATAGACGACCAATGTCGTTCTTCTATTTTATAGGTTTCTGGAGCAAAAAACTGCAAACGAACAACCAAGAGAAACGGGAGTCCGAAATGGCCGAAAATAATAATTCAAACAAGTTCATAAGCTAAGTAAAACAAATGTACCCAAAAAACACAGTGAAATTAATGATATTTATACATAAAGGTTTTGATCAGCAAACTGTCTTCATTTCTCCCGTAACACGGAAGATCTATTTTTTAGATGGTGTTTAGTTCTTCTGTTTCTGTCGACAATTTTCAAGTGCAAGCCACCAATCAACTTAAGGCAGAGTAAAGTGGAAGACAAATAATGGTACATTTGTGGTAAAATCAGTGATCGTTTACCGTTCGACAGAAAATTATAAAATAATGTTTTTCATATCCCTTATACAACATCTGGAGGCGAACGATTTCCCGGTTCGCGATTTCGACACTTTACGTAACTATCAATTCAGATTAAGTCGAAGTAATCACATAAGACGTTTCTCAAGCATTTTCGACAGTGTCTCATTCTTGCCTTGTTTTCTCTAGATTTACAGTGTCACAGCACTAGTCTATCCTTCAATATGCCACAACTCTTCAATTTATCTGAAGCTTACAAATGTAAAAGCTACTTTTCCTACCCTATCCTGTGTATTCTCGGTTTCTATTGATGTTACTCCCGAACCAGTGTTCACCTTTCAACATGTTCATGCATTTATATTCAGTAATTTCTTGTCTATTCAGAGACCTGTAGTGAGCAAGTTAGATGCCAGATTGACTATGCTCACCACTAAATGTTCCATAATATCCCACCATCATAAAAAGAAAAATAAATCCATGATCCGAGGTTTTATTTAAGGAGACAGTAGGCATTACATCGGGAACAGCAAATAGAGAAAAATGGCAGCAATGCGAAGAGAACGTTGCGCGCAAGAAGTCAAAGAAGTGTTTTTGGTGCAGTTAAACAAAACGAGTACAATAATGTTTATTTTTCACAAATCGTATTTTCTTCGTAGAAGCGTTTCACTACAGACCTGTGTGATTTTTTTAAAGGTAGAAACAACTTTATTGTAGCTGAGGATTTTCTGTTTGTGATTTTAATAAAAAAAATCAATTAGGAAACAACAAGTCTCTCTTAAAGGGAAATACGAGATCATACAGAACAATAGTTATTGATCAGTAATATAAAAGAATATGCAATTTGAAGTCGTATATGATTGTCGATGTGGAAGAAGCATCGTCACTTCATATGGTGAATCCAAGGTTAACCTTTCCTCGATATTGATAATAAATTAGTAAAATTAATTAGTTAATTATTAACCTCAGGCACTTATATTATGACCAAGAGGTTGGCACTTGAATGAAGAATTAGATAGACAGTGGACCTTATGATTATCTTTTTTTTCATTAATTTTACTGTTCCCTCCGAACTTTCAGCTTTCATGTACAGGCATCTAGCTTCACACTTTAACTTCTCTATGCATATCGCGACCCCTTATTCTTGACTGCTGTACTCCCCATTTCGAAGGCGATATTACTAAAACTTATTTTAATTTTAGCGGACTGTGTGAATTTTGTCTTGATTTACCATTTAAGGATTTACCATTTAAGAACTATAACTTATTGGAAAAACAAATTATGCCAAAACCTACGGTATATCACCAAAGAAGTGTCGTAATTAATTTTTATACTGACATGTTACTTAAAGTAGATGACTATTAATAATAAAGCCTAAAAACTGAGTGAATTAACCACAGTTTACTAAGACTAAACCTAGTAGAAACAAAAAATTGTATTTCAGGACTGAGGACTACTGTCATATAAGTATAATGTGATGTATTGTTTTTAATAAAAACTACGTTTTGACATTTCTAATTCAGTGACTGAGTGGATGAAAAAGTGAAGATTGTTTCTACCTAGTATACAACTAGTTCACGCGACAGGGTCGAGTAAACTTCTACTGATCTGAAACCCATAAAAATCATTTGGATTTTTTAGGTTAATAAGTTGACGAAGAATATTATCAACACTCTGTCCTAAATTATGTGTGATAAAGTGTTTAGTTATAACAGAAAGCATGATTGTATTTATTACGGCAAGTAAGTGAAACTTTGAAGGTTGTCTAAAGCAGTTTCAGTCCTAACAAACCTTTGTTTGAAACTGCTCTTGGGCTAAGACCAACGGCTTTGCGGTCTTTTCGGATTTGACAGGTTCCGTATGTTGGTTGTCATATTTTGCAATTGGGATGTCTGAGGTTTTACTGAATGACTCAGCTGTAAAGCAGGAATATTTTGAAGACGAAGAAAGCCTCTTGAAAAGTGATGTGTTCGATTCCGTACCTGAGACACTGTCGAATGAATTGACTGAGATTGGTTTTGACAACGGATGTCCTGGTGTTGTTGGTCGTGATCCATATGGTGACCTATTTTTAATGGATCCCAATGACCTACTTGGTGTAAGGGAAGAGGTCATTGGGAATGACACAAGTAACAGCCCGGAAAGTGTACCTGTATGCGATTCAAATATTGCTACGGCGGATGAATCTAACGACTCTACTAATGAACGAATCAATTTAAAACGAAAAAAGACGAAAATTCGACACTACAACTTGACCAAACAGGAAATGGATAGCCGTGAGACCTCAGATCCAGATGAAGGAGCGCAAAACATGGATTATTCGCGTTCTAAACTTCCGTACATTCATCCATCGATAAAAGTTGACCCTGAAACTGACTTAGGTAAGAAGTCCATATATTTTCTAGCTTTAAACAGGAAATCTGCCGTACGTTGTATACGGCAACACAGTTGGGGGCTTAGGTGGCAAAAGCTTTCTGGTAAATCGCCGGTACTCGACAAATGCCAGCCACAAACAAATCCATGTTTGGCATGGACAGCCACGCTATCGGCGCCATTTTCCCTTGTGTACTACTGGAACAAGTGGTACTCGATTCATTCCTCAAGGTAAAACTTTTAAAACCGTATATTTTTTGTGTATCTCCGTTTCCCTTGTAACTATGTCCCCTTGTAGTCATCATAACGTTTGATAAATAGTATGCAAACTCTTCAGTCTCCATAATATCTTATAGATAAGTGTAGTGGTCAATCCAATCTTTAAGTATTTCGCTTGACTCGTAATACATTGAGTTTCTATCTACCTCTAAGGGAATGATCTCATGATTTCTAAATGACTTTCGTGGGCGGTGAATAGAGCCGATAGGATAGTACCCCTTTACTTATTATATTTCAAAGACTAGATGAATGCACACCTGTTTATTTGTAATAACGTGAACTATTATTGCACTAATCAATGTAACCAGCTTGACCAATGTGGTCTCCAATCATCGGTTTTCATAATCTTGAATGTAACTAGTGTTTGGAAACTGCAGACTCAAGAATCTGATCCCTACATTCACTGACAGTATCGTGACATTCCATCAGATTTCGAAACATGGTCATAATAATATTTGACTTACCACACTTGATTTTCCATTCCATTAGTCCAGACGCTTTGTGTAACTATAAGTCCACCTAAATGTGCACTACTTTAATACAGGTCCTTTTACGGAGCGCCAGTGATATAGCCAGATTCTATGTCAAAATGTCATCTAAATTGACTGCAATTAATAGCACTCACCAAAAATACTTACTTTCACTTTCTATTTTCATCATTGTGCTCCTCAAATTGACAGTTACTGTTTAGGTTTTAAGTTCATCCATTACTCGAGGACGTTTTCACTAAATTAGAAGACTTAGATAACGTCTTTTTTGTGTTGCTTGAAAAATAAGTTCCGAACAACTCAGCTGGTGATGCAGAGGTGTTCATTATGGGTTCTTTCACACTCCTCATGGCTGGTCTGCACCAGTTGTAGCGTGTTACCTACCCCTAGTCACCGCTTACCTCAACGTGCTATACTGATGGGTGTAAGAACAACGTGGAAGGAAACTAGAGGCAGTCAAATCAAACATGGAACCAGTCTATGTAGTTTTTAATTGTTGATCTGAATCGTGTTGAGTTTTTATGAACTCAGGCAAATATTCGCATACTTGGCTATGTGGCACACTCATTGTGAGCTAGTATGTTACCTTTTTGTTTGGCTCAATGTTTTTGATGACAGTTTGCAACAATCATCAATCTCACCATACATATACAAAAGGCGAGTGGAACCTGATGAATAAAACCCTGGGACCCCTAAAATGGTGGCCTATTGACATATATACTGGAGTCAACTATGTGGAATCCTATCCAAGTGGTCTTGGTGATAGTCCCAAATGATGGGAGGTGCGCTAAGCTGCTGTTCCAAAATTTTACTACAGTGTACGGGACTACAGCTGCCTTCTGATTCACTAATTAGAGTAAAAATTCCACTATTTATATTGAAACCTTGCTGATCGAGAGCAGTAAAGTTCATTAAATTTAACTACATAAAAACCAGTCAAATTGATATAGCTCCTCAAACATCCTACCCTTAACTAGGCTTCTTAGAGAGCAAACCTAGTAAAACTGGATGTTTTAAACATGAACGTAGATGTTTTGGTCAACTACTCTCCACCCAGTATGTTCTCATAACTCAGAGATATGAACTGTGTCGTACTATGATAGTATTTCTTGACCTGAAGGCAGCATGTAGCTGGTATTATCGAATCATAATAGATGCACGTTTGATATGCGTTTACCTCCCCTCCATATGCGAAATTTAACTCTTGAACTGATCTATACCAACTCCTAAACTAGTAACTAATCTTCTCCATCACAGTTAATACTGTAGGATCTGAACTGACAATTGCATCGGTGTGCTAATGTGGTTTAGCAACTTGGATTGATGTACGTACGTACGAAGTTCTGCGTCTTAGCTGACTGACCTGAACTAGTGAGTGAGAGTAAGGTAGTTGAGCGTGTTGATCAATTAGATTATTTTTGATAGTCTCATCAAAGGTTGTGGGTCGTTAACCAGGAGACTGGCTTGTTGGCCTAGAGTATGGCTTTGGAGCAACCGCATAGGCGACGCTACGATTAGACGTAGTTTACTTAATGAATCAGTCTATCAGGCCATGCGATTTAGTTTGTTAAGAAAGTTCACGTCATTTTTACGTCAATTCAGATATGCATTAACTGGACTGAAAGATTGTCAGTCATTGAAAAAAACATGGCATTAACTCATCAGGCCATTGACCATCTCAGCGAAGTGTGACAAAGCCTATAAATCCAGAGTAAACTTAACACGATTATCGTATTGATTCGTTGTCAGTGTCTGTCATTGAAAGGATTACTAAAGAAGTACTTTCACCTTAGACAGGCTCTCTACTCAAAGACAACTGGTCGAATTAGAGCTTATAACGAACTATCACCGGAATCGATTGCTTCAAGCGTTGTTCATCAGGGCTATCCGATTTTTCCGTTTCTGCTCAACTTCTTCATTAACATGCTTTTAGATACAACACTTTCATCGTCTCATTTTTACAGGGAGATTCATTTGTCGACTTAGAATATGCTGATGATATAGTTCTAGGTGGTTAAGACGCTGACGAAATACAGAGTCTTCTGACTACCGTAAGCAACAATGCAAGCATGTTCGGGATGCAGTTTTCCCCCTCGAAACGCAAAATGTTGCTTCATGCTTGGCTTGCATCGTCACCTGAACTAATGATAGGGAGTGAAGCAGTTGAGCATGTCGACCGATTCACTTATCTCTGGAGTATCATTAGTGCTGATGGCTTGTTGATTGACCCAATCAAATCCTTCCTACACCACTTGCCAACTCTCTTAGTCTGTCAGTCAGTCACGTACAACATAGAACTTCGTACAAGTTTCCATACTTCATTAGTGCAGTCAGTCAGTCAGATGCAACGTAGAACTTCGTACGTAAGTACATCAGTTCATGTCGCCATACCACATTCAAATCCAATAGTAGAAGAGGTAGTAAAGGTATTAGAAGTAGTCGAAGAGATTAGGATTAGAAGATATTATTCAAGAAGTATGATTCAGTGAGATAAGTTTAGAAAGTCAAAACTAGAGGTGTTAAAGAATCCAGAAGATTAGGATTTGAGAGAACACAAAGAATAAATGCACCGGCGCCATTGTGAACGATTTTGAGCCATGTCATTCAAGGTCTCTAACCATCGGAGATTTTCGTCTCGTGGACCCCAACCGGATAGTCTAAATCTTCCAACATGACTCAGTTCACTTTTCAGTGGCTTCATGGATTTGTACCATGTTTTTGTTTGACCGCCCGTAACTTTCTTCCAACCTACTCTTACACCACAAAGCAGCTACGATCGGGCCAACTCTCTTATTTCTACGACCAACTCTTCTCACATTAATTTATCACCTCGCGCCGCTAATGCAAAAGCCTGGAGTTTACGAAACGTTATTCCTGGTCTTCTGAAACCCTGTTCTGAACTACATATTGGAGCTTTTAAAGTACGAAGATTGTGTCAAACAAGACAACAGGCATCATCAGCTAGGATTTAATGATCTCGGGCCATTGATACATGATGCGTTTCCAAAATGCCAATGCAGGACCTGAGACGAGTGACTTATTTGATCACACCATCTTGATTTATGATTCGGGAATCTTAAAACCCCAAAGCTGCTACCATGACCTCCATGGTGTAGATATAGATATGGCAATGAAACCTAGCGCAGAACTAGCTCTCACACAACTTTCTCCATTTCTATCCAACCTTATTGTTGACACGCCTTTGGAGATAAAACTGTCATCGTCTGATTTTTTAGGAGTTGACCTACCAGAAGATCCTCTTGTTGACTTAGAATATGCCGTCGGCATAGTTCTACTTGGTGAAGACACTAATAAAACACAGTCTTCTGACCACCCTACAGACAGGCAGATTCAACGCAGAACTTCGTACGTAAGTTTGCCATACCACATCAGCTCAGAGATGTAACTGTCATTTCAAATCCAAGAGCGATAGTAGAATTATTAACAGTAATGGAGAAGATTAAGGTTAGAAGATATGAATCAGTGAGATAAATTTAGAAGGAGAAAGATAGATATTATGATGAATTCTGAAGGTTAGAATTGGAGACAACACAAGGAGTGGATGCACCTGTGCCATTGAGAACGATTCTGAGCCATGTCGTTCAAGGTCTCTAACCATCGATTATTATCATCTCGCAGACCCCAACCAGGTAGTCGACAATTACCGACACGGCTAAGTCCACTTGACAGTGACTTCATGGATTTCTGCCATGTTTTGGTTTGGCCGCCCCTAACTTTCTTCCAACCTATTCCTACACCACAAAACATAGCTCGTCGAGGCAGTCGGTGGTTAGGCATACGCAACACATGTCCCAACCACCTCAACTGATGAAGATTCAGCACTTCATCTATTGATTTGCCATTCTTACCTAGCACCCGTTTCCTAACAACAGCATTGCTTATACGGTTGTCCCAGGATATACGAGCAATGCTTCTAAGACACCTATGATCGAAAACAAGTAACCTACGAATATCTTCTACTCTCACTGGCCATGTTTCACATCCGTTCAGTAGGACGGAACGAACTGCTGCGCAGTACACTCGTCCTTTGGTTAACAAGCGGATATCTCGCCTGCGCCATAAGTAACGCAGGTTGGCAAAAGCCAATCGAGCCTTCTGTATCCGAGCTGAGATTTCGTCAGTCACCAGGCCATCGGCACTGATGAGACTCCCCAGATAAGTGAAAAGGTTAACACGCGCAACTGCTCCACTCCCTATCACTAGTTCAGGTGCCGATGCAACCCAATCTTGAAGCAACATTTTGCATTTCGAGGGTGAGAACCGCATCCCGAACATGCTTTCATTGTTGCTTATGGTAGTCAGAAGACTGCATTTTGTCAGCGTCTTCACCAAACAGAACTGTGTCATCAACATATCCCAGGTCAGTAAGCGATTTCCCTGGTAGAAGGTCGACTTCTGGAAATTTAGACGAGGATAAGGTTACATCTAGCAGCATGTCTATGC